TGCCATATCATGGGAATCATGGGAACTTTTCGTTTGTTTGATATAGAGTAAGGAATGAATTAAGGATTAGATGGCATGGATATGGAGAGTCGAGTTGCGAGTGAAGTAACCTATACTTAATAGTTGTGAAGAGGGGAAAGAGAGAGAGCCAGAGAGAGAAGAAATTTCTCGGATCGGGAGGGAAACCAGCGATTCAACAACCCGAATCTCCTCTACCAACCACATCCATTCAAATCCATCCGATGTCCACCCTTTTTTTTATTTTTTATTTTGATTTTTTTTTCTCACTCCGTACTCCACGGAGACACCGGCGGTCTTCACAAACAAGTAAGAGAAACGAAATCCAAAACAAGATGAGAATGGTGCAGAGGGTATGCTCTCATCAGATCTCGTTTTCTGATATATTTCTTCTTGTCATGCAGTGCGCCTGTCCTGGGAAAGGAAAATGTGATATTGACAGACAAACAGACGGACGGTGCTGTACTTACTGGAAAAAGTACTCCGTCAGTGACCAACTTCTTGGAGTTATGTTTTCAATCTCTCTCGTCTTTGGTGTATAATCATTACCTACCAGTATTAGTAGTGGAATTTATTATTATTTTGGCTACAGCGGAGAAAAGTCCTGCTGCTTGTTGCTGCTGCTGTTGCTGCTATTGCTGCTGCTGTTGCTGCCGCTTGTCCTCTTCCTCTCAGTCTGATTTTCTTATCCCCGGTCAAGACAAAAAAAAGAAGAATTTCACGTCTTTTGCTCGCTTCCTTTCCCTTGCCCCCCTCTTCCTCCTTCTCTCTACCTGTTTTCCCTCTCGCTCTCCGTTTCTCGGTCTTGAGACTCTATTTTTTTTTCCCCCGTCCCCTCCTCAAGCCTCCCCCCTCCCTCTTCCCCCCGGTCCTCTTCTCCCTCTCTCTTCTCGGTTTGGGACGATTGCATTTCTCCTCTGCTACCCGACCTTTTCCTTCCCTTACCCTTTCCCTTTCCCTTCTTCCCCCCTCCACCCTATCCTCCGTCCTTAATTCCCTCATCCACCCACTCTCTCTCTCTCTCCCCCCCGCCTTCTCCAACCCTCTTCATTTCTCTCACGCCAGACTTAATCTGTCTGTCGTGCCTGAAGGGTGAGAAGTTGTTGTCGGTCACTGCTTGCCGTTCTGCCTCGTTTGCTCGTGGTAGATCCTATTGAGAGTGCATTCACTCCTTTTTTTGTGAGTAACCATCCAGTCAGTCCCCTTGCCTGACACTCCCGAAGCACAATGTCTTGTCTTTTCTTTTTTTGTCCGCCTTCCACAATACGGTCAATGGGAAAATCCACAACACCTCATCAACTACGCCTTCCATCCAAATCGGCCAGATTTCATATGTCGACCCCTTCACTCCATGTCCGCTTGTCATCTCCGCAATGCGAAAGATCAATTGAATCCCCGAGGATGTCATGGTGGAGAGACTCGAAAGCAGAGTTTGATACTTGGGAAAGGGTCATTCCGAGGAATCTAAGAATAACTCCGGTCGATGTCATTGCTGGTCGCCATCCCGCCTTTTTTTCTTATTTTTATCTGCCCGGTGCGGTGACTCGGACACCTGGCCCGTTTATTTGGACTTTCGCCCCGTCGTCATCCGCCTATCTCTCCGTCGTCTGCAATCACTTGTCAATGCACTGGCTGCGCTGCTTAGGTGTTCTGGACTTCATGCTCATTCATATCCTTCCCACAGGCCTCTCCTGATTGCCTCCAAGCGCCAATCTTTCGTTCCGCTTCACGCCGTCCGTTCCGTCCGTCGCGGTCCCCAGATCAATTAAATAATGGCGTCCTACTACGAGGCCCAGGGCTGGCAAGCCCCTCCTACGCGCCAGGCCTCCTGGGAACAGCCGGCTCCCCCGTCGCGGTCAGGTATGGTTGGCAGGACGTTCAACGATCTTTTTTAGCAGGAAAACAGCGAGGCTTACACCGGTGCTCTCTCATAGGATCAAGCTCCGTCTCTCAGCGCGATGAAATCCCGGCCTTCTCTTCTCAGTTCGATGGTACGCATATTTCCCGACTCCCCAGATGTCATACCTTTTGCGGATCTTCCGTATGATGCGAATCAGAGATCACGCACTGCAGATGTGTTTTTTTGCGGTCTGCAGACACAGTTGAATCTCTGTTGTTCGGAAAAGGGGAGAAAGAGTGGAAAGAGTGGCGCTGACTTCCAACAGAGGTCGACCGTGCGATTGACAATCTCGTCAAGAGCGGAAAGCTCTGGGCCGCGCCCCGGAGAGACTCGATGCCCATGATGATGGGTCGCCCGTACCCCGACTACGGTATGATTCCATGAATGCCCCCTACTAGAAGTTATTCCATTCTGAACAGTACTGTGGTAGATCCCCGCATGGCCGGTGCGATGTCACAGCGTCATCACTCGATCAGCGAGTTCGATTCTCGGATGCACCCGAATCCCTCCCTCCAGGGCTTCTATGCCTCGCAACGATTCCAGGGTCGTCCCAACGAAGTGGAGCAGATGATGCAAGCGAAGCGTCGGATGGCAGCACAGCGTGAGAGGGAGCTCCGCAACTATCACCAGGAGCAACAGTACAACCGAAGTACGTGGTAGCATTTGTCTTTGGAGCCTCTTTCTTTCTTCCTCGCCCGCATCTTCCTCCACTATTCCCCCCATGATCTTCTCTGCCCATATGTGTATTCGCTGGCTTGTATATTACATTGGGACATGGTTCCAGTTTTTGAACATGGTTTTAATTCTTCTGCTTCTCTCAAAGGCCTGCTTGCCGAAATGTCTGGAAACAAGTCCGATCGCTCGCTCAGCCCAGCCGCCATGAGCGAGGAAAGTCGCCGCGAGCTTCTGGCTCGTCAGCATAGGGCCCTGTACGGCAACGACAGCCCCGCGTTCTTCCCCCCTGGAAGCTTGACCGATGAGAACCCCCGCTCCGACAGCCAGGCCGGTGGTACCCCGACTTCTGCCACCGGAGTTCGTGGTCCGTCTCCCCGCGGTGCCGACCCCTTTGGTCTAGCGCAAACTCCCGTCCAAGGGAGTGTTGATGGCGTGTCTCAGGCTGCCGCGGGTGCCGCCTCCCTCCAGTCGCCCTCGCGTGCCAACAGCGCCTCTTCTCCCAGCTCGGGCATTAACCCTGTCTTTGGCAAGTACGAGACTCCCGATCAGCCCGGAACTTCAACCTCGTCTCCCGGTGGCGCCGATTCTCCCTCCTCGAGACAGGCATCGACCAAGCCGGCGACTGGACCCATAGGCTCTGTGGGACCCATTGGCAGCCGGCCTCTTCAACAGACCGGTGCCGGCCAGGCTTCCAACCCGGCCCTGAACAAGCGTTCCACGACTCCCCTTCCGTCTCCCCTGGGATTCGGCTTCACCTCGGGTGATGCCACTACCGGCGAACGTGCTTCGTCGGTTTCCAACGCCTCGACCGCCGCCGCAGCGACCGCCGGCGTCAAGGACACCACGGGCGGTGGTGTTTCCCTGGGTTGGGGTAACGGCAGTGGCGTGTGGGGATCGAAGAACGGCTTGGGCGTGCAGGCCTCTGTCTGGGGCTAAGCGACGGCCACCAGCCATGGTTCGATTCTCACAACATTATTCCTTTGGACGGGTGTTCGCTTTTGTACTGTGGCGTTCTAAGAGAGGGTTATATCTTTGATTCGACTATTGGGAAAGAGCATGGTACATATCTGAAAGAAGTGGGGTCGCAAGCACACGTCTTGATTAATATTTTTGTCTAGCGCTCCGTCACATGTGGACAGTCGGTTTAATTTGGTACATGGTGGTTCTACTGACTAGCGCCCTTTGGGATTGGCCTGTTGGTTTCTGGAGTCGGTATTCCCTTTTGTGTTATGTGGCATCATGTTGGGGGTTTCTTGTTTTTATTGGTGTCGCATCTGTTGATCATGGGTTGTCGTTTCACTCGGCGCCAGTCTATCTATCTATCCACCACTGCTCCAGGGGTTGGGGTATTTTGGGGTGATTGTATTAACCTTGTTTGGCTGTGGGGGGTGTATGTTCTCTCGGGCTCTTGTTTCCCGCTCATCTCTGGGGGGTTCCAGGTGTTTGTTTTTTTTTTTTTTTTTTTTTTTCCCTTTGATTGTTCGGGTCTGGTTGTGATTGTGAATCTGGCCGAAAGCATGTTGGGTCATTTTGTCATGGGGTGTTTTTCTTTCTTATTATCTGGGTACGAAAAGGGTTTTTCTAGTTCGGTTGTTTTTTCTGGCAAAGGCAAAAGGAATACTGGGGAGCAGGCAAACATTATCAAAAGAGCTGTTTGGAGTCTGTTGATCTGCCGAGGTTTTCTGGAATGTCTTGTGTTTCTGTTTCAAGTTTGTGGTTCTGTGCGTTGATAGGTTTATATGGTTCATGTTTCTATTTGTGTTCTGTCATAAGGTACGGGTTACATTTTTTTCGTCGTAATGTATGGTTCTGGTGTCTAGGGCCTAGGATGTTTGTCGTATTGAGCTGACGTGAGGTTGTGGATGAGGTACTTCAATCTTCATTGAAGTTGCTGGCGGCAGGGGTGATTGCTGTAAATCTCTCAGTGGCTTCACTCATGAATCCATCTTGACTGCTTGGATGTTTGCCCAGTCATCCAGTTGTCTTCAACCTCGGCAGAGTGCTCGGCGGCGCACCTGGTCAACAATTCTAAGTAATAGAGTTGTATCACATAACATTTCTAGAAGCAGACAAACTCATTTAGCTCAACATCTTGACTCCCTCTCAAAATCTAGTCTATCACGCTCGCATATCGTCATCTATATAAAAGAGCTCGTCATAGTCGTTCAGTCATTTACGCGAAAAACCCCCCCGTCCTGAAATATGTATCCCAAGCAGCCCAGCGCATCCCAGCGCCAAAGACCGTGGCTCCCAGCCCGACCCATCAAACCACCGAAACCCTTTCCCCAGCCTCCTCCTGTTCTTCCCGGCGCAACAGCAACGGCTCCTCCTCCCCCGAAGCCTCCAATCCTCCAAACCTCTGGCCCCTTCGTCCCGTATCCACCCTCCCCGACCCAGAACAGGATCTCACCCAAGGCTTCTTCTCGCCCCCGCCCGCACCGCCGCCGGATACCGGGGCAGCACCGAGAAAATACACCCCCTGGCCGGCGACAATCAACGCGAACGCCACGGGATACGCCCAGCCGACCTGATACCGGAAAAGCAGCACGCCGACCCCGACCCCCCAGCAGTTCATCGTCAGCATGGACAGGTTGAAGAACGCGGCGGACGCGCGCCGCAGCAGCAGCGGCACCAGACAATAAAACGCGGCGAGGCAGAGCGTGTACGCGGCCCACCACCCCAGGACCCTTGCATCCCACACAGTGCTGCTGCGGAGGAGGGCGGACAGCTCCCCCAGCGCCAGGGCCTGCAGCGCGGTGATGCACGCCCCGCACAGCGCCATCTGGCCGAGCACCTCAGCGATCGGGGCGGTGGTCACCAGCACTTCTTCGAGGACATTGGCGAGGCCGTAGCTGGTTGCGCCGGTTAGGGCGGAGAGGTCGCCGAGCAGTTTGTTGTGAGCGGAGGCGGGTGGGGTGCGGTCGGAGAAGAGGAGGAGGAGCATCCCCGTTATGCAGATGGAGATCCCGAGGAGTTGGGGTCGGTGGTAGTGCACGCCCAGGACGGTCGAGGAGATTAGGACCACGATGGCGATGGCCCAGAAATTGATGAGTTGGGCGCTGAGGAGGGTCGTGTTGCGGTAGGCCAGGACGAGGAAGTAGTTGCCTTCTACGTCGAAGAGGGAGAGGAGGAGGTCTGTTTTTTTGGGGGGCGGGGTTAGTTTGTCGGTTGTGGAGGGGGGATGGGGATGGGGGCATATCGTACATTTCCAACCGCGAGACAAGAAGCTCTGGGTCCAGCCCTGGAGCCCGTGGCGGTGGATTGTGTAGGAGGTGAAGATCACGGTCAGCAGGAGGTAGTTGAAGAAGGTCTGCGTGGCCGGCAGGGAGACGCCTCGGTCGGCTAGGAGGGTGCTGAAAGTGCTGCACGCTGTGTTGGTGATGGCGAGGATTTGACTGTTGGTGACTTAGTGAGATGCTAAGGACTGTTTGTAACGGGTGTGAAGATGGTCTTACCCCAGGAGGAGGGTGATGTAGAATTCTCGGGTGGTCAGGTAGGCGAGCGGGCTTTGCTGTTTGTCGGTGGGATGGTCCGCTGTTGTTGCGTGTTCCGAGTCCACTGCGTCGGTGCTACCGTTGCCGGTAGTATATACATTAGAGGTAGCGGAGGCATCGGATTTGGACGGTAGTGGTATATGGGCACGACCGAGATCGGTGCCCGTGGACGATGGGCCAGCCCCAGCATCGTCTGTGCCATGGGACACAGCAGAATGTGTCATGGCTGCTGCAACAGACTTTTCTAAAACGACTGGAGTAACGACACACCGATGGGAGCTTTCCCACCCGCACGAGCGCAAAGCTCCCGAAGTCGCTCGCGGATGGCAGTTGGTATATCAGACCCAACGGCTGTCTGAATTGAAGATAAGAAGGCTGAAGAAAGTCACGAGGAAGCCAACTCAGAAGTGGAGAGGACTTTCTACTCTAAGTTACTACTGCTACTAAGTACTAAGTATAACTTATGTAATCGCCAAGTCAATCAGATCCGCCCTCCCGTCATGTGCTTCGCGGCCAATCACGGGTCGCACCCCTCATGTGGATCCATGATCCCTACCGCCCGGGCCCGATAAGGGAGCTGACCCGCGTCGGCTATCAGGGATCATCTAACGCTTAGCAGGTAGCTGGTAGCAGTCTGGAACACACCCACTACCAAGGAGTGGCCGCGATAAGAACAGCTATCTGATGCTAATGAGGGATCCCTCGTACAGTCTGCAGCAGTTTGAGGTGGATGTCTGGGTGCCACCTCCGCATCCATGCACTGATCTTAGCGTTCCTGCACGGAACATCCACTTACTCGCCTTACAGGGGGAAGGGAGTTAGTATATAAATACCCAGGATTCCGGCATGTACGGAGTACCGGTAGTATGTAAGTTGCTTGGTAGCAAGCAACTGTGTTTCCTAGTTGACTACCTGTTTATCATGGTTAGAGACTGTATATTTGCTCGCGTATAGCTAATACCAACAAGCTTCATTGGCCAACAGAGAAAAGTTATCCTGCTGTAGTCACATGCATCTTGCCACATTCACTGCCCCAGGCACCCAGGATTAGGCTTTGCGCAATGATCTCATCGGGTCTCCAACCTGGCCCTGTCCTCCGTCAATCGCCTTCATTCATCCATTTTGCCATTTTTCTGGAAGATGTTCCGATCCGCTCACTGACAACCGCACAGTTCAGGCTCCCGTCCTTCCTGGAGGGTAATGGCGGATTTGCTTCGGCATGATTCAAAGAATCGAGCATGTTTGGTGACGCAGCATCCCCCACATGACCCATCCGCATCGCCCCTCCCCTTGGTTCATCTATTGACCGAGGGGGAACACAGGCGCAGTGATCCGTATCGGTAGTGCAACCACCGTCTTCAGGCAGTCTCGGGTTAAGCTTGGGGACTGGTCGCTGCCCAACTGAGTAGGAGCCCCGACTTCGGTCATGGACATCCTGTTCCGTCGCTATCAACGGTGGATAGAGGCGGAATGACCCGGAGGCAGGAGACAACAATGCAATTCTTTCGCTCCGCTACGTTAGAGATCGTCCGTTTTTGAGGCTGAAGTGGTAGCTTATTACATATCCACTCAAAGGTTCCATGGATATTGAATGCGTGGGGTCCCGGGATGATGATTACAGTTGCGGACACACACTCTTCTTGTTAGTAGTGTACCTTATGGAACAATTATAGAACAATTCAAATATCTGACAATGGGGGGAACAATAAGAAGTGACGGGGCTAGAACCTTTTTGGTCTTCTCTCCTCCTTGCAGTGCCATTTTGCCATTCCACCCCTTGACCGACCGACCGACCGACCGACCGACTGACTGACTGACAACCCGGTGACCCAACCTTAACCACAATAACCACAAATGGGACCTATTCAGTATCGCATCCATCCACATGGGACAAGAAGAAGCATCCTGCTGTAAGGTCCGACTCCCCAACCCCCCCCGACACCCTAGCGGCTGGAGGGCCATTCTTATCCTGAATCCTCAGGGCTGGCCTGAAACCTTTCCGGGGACGCGCACGTCATCGGCAAGACCCTTCTTTATTGATGAACACGCAGATAAGTTTATAGCTACCGGTATAGTCACGTAGGTGTAGACGGATTGACGGAAAAGTTTCAGGTCTTCAATTGCTCGCTCCGCTTTCGCTGCAGATCCCCGAGCTGGCCCTTTGTAGTACTCCACCTGGACTTACTGCTGGCTGGCAGCTGGTGGGTTGCCGTATATCGGACGTTGTCCTGTTCAGCTTAGCTCTGATAAGCTCCCGATTTGTTGAGCAATTCCAATCCCTTAGGTAGTGTTCAGTACGGTCGCGTGTTGTTGTTGTCGTCCGGTTCATTTTCTTTTCCCTCTCCGAGACAAATAGGCAGATAGGTAGGCAGGCAGACTCTGGCACACAGGCAGGCAGACAAGACAGTTGCCGAGGCCGTCAGGTGGTCCCGACGCCAAAGTCAAGAAGGATCCTCATTCATCATCGAAGAACAAGCAGAAGCAGAAGTAGAAGCAGAAGCAGAAACATAGGCGCAAGTACTGTACTGTACAAGCTGTGAGGGAAGCAGCAGCAGCAGCAGCAGTAGCAGCAAGCAAGCAAGCAAGCAGACAAGCAACAAGCAGCAGCTAACCTTTCCCCGTCTCCATCTTCTTACCTGTACGGAGTACTGCTTGCTATCTTTATTTTTTTTGCCTGTCACTTTTCTTCCCTTTTACATCATTTTCCTTCCTCCCAGACCTCTAACATTACTCTCATCCTTTCCACCTACACACAACACCTCCGTCTCCTTAACCTCCTTCTCTGTCTGTACTCGTCGTTTGCTTGTTTCCATCCTCCCGTCCCCTCTTTTCTCCGTCCGTCTCCTCTTCCCTTTCTTCTCTTCCTCCTCTCCCCCCTCCACCTGACCTGATTATCACATCATATCACATCGACCACACATCCACACATCCACACATCCACACATCCACATCATCATTCTTTTTCCTCTCCCTTCTTTCTCCCTTTTTTAACCTTTCCCGCTTTTTCCTCCCATTCCCCACTTCTTTCCCTTCCCTTCCCTTCCGCACATCCTCCGTCCAATCTGGACCAAGCCGCGGCCTTTTCTTATCTTTCTCTCCGCCTTCCCTTCCGTTGGGGCTCTCCTCGCGCCGGAACACTCGTTCCTGAGTTGTCCCGGAGTGACGAGACGCCACCTCTCCGTTTTGCCGGACCATGGCGTTGGAGGTGCAACCACCCAGCGATCGCAAGCGGGTGAAGGTCTACGAACTCAGAGATAATGACTGGTTCGATCGAGGCACCGGCTTCTGCACCGGTCAGATCCTGGATGTGAGTCGTGTCCCTTCCACCTGCTGTCCGCCGCGCGACTGCTGCGTCGCCCGCTCGTCGGGCGCAAACGCACCATCGCCGTCGGGCGCGCGCTTGGTCGCTTCCATGAAGATTCCATCGCTAACCAGTCCACGCCATGGCTAGGATGAGCCGCGGATTTTCGTCGAGTCGGAAGATGAACCCAACCGGGTGCTGTTGGAGACCAAGATCTCCAAGGATGACGGATACCAGAAGCAACAAGGTGCCACCCCTCCTGCGCGCTTCCCGTCCATTGCGCACGCGACAAGTCGTACAAGAACCATCACTGACCATCGCGCGACCCCATCAGAGACATTGATTGTATGGACAGAGCCCAATGGAACGGACATGGCACTCAGTTTTCAGGAAGCCGAAGGGTGCGCGGTCATCTGGTAAGGCGCATCGAGCCCAGCTCGGAACGGGGATAGAAATGAGTCAAGCCGAAGACTGACTGAGTCTCCGCAGGGACTTCGTCAACAACGTGCAACAACATCTGCTCAGTTTGGCGCCGGGAGGTTAGATTTTCTCCCATCTCCAGGCTACGCTGCCGCGATAGCTGATGATAGGATCTTTTGCTGACCTGGTCATTCCGTTGTGCCTAGAAGATGCCTTGTCCGACGAGATCGAGAGCTACCAGTCGATTATGCTGCCGGCGCCCGACCTAGGCAATCTTCCCGAAATCGACCACATCATGAGGACCTCGAGCATAACTCAAGCCGGCCGCGATGCTCTTTCCAAATTAGTCATTCGTGATGAGTATATTCCGAAACTCATCCCTCTGGTCTCAATGGCGGAAGACCTCGAAAGCCTTCCGGATCTACATCGTCTTTGCAATATCATGAAGTCACTGATCCTACTCAACGACAACACGATCATCGAAACCGTGGTCACAGACCCCGTCATCCTGGGGGTCGTTGGAGCATTGGAATGTATGAATCCCGATGGCAGCGCCTTGCACTGAGAAATTGCTAATGGGCTGTAGACGACCCCGAGTTCCCTACCCACAAGGCCAACCATCGCCAGTACCTCGCAGACCAGACGCGTTACAAAGAAGTAGTCCCCATCAAGGACCCTCTCATTCGTCGCAAGATCCGATACACCTGGCGCTTACAGTACCTCAAAGACGTGGTTCTGGCTAGGATCCTAGATGATCCTACATTTTCAGTGCTAAACTCCTTGATCTTCTTCAACCAGGTGGAAATCGTTAATCATATACAATCCAACGCGCAATTCTTGAAGGAACTCTTTACAGTCTTCGACCCCCGAAACGCCGACAACAAGCGCAAGGAGGATGCGGTCCAATTCCTTCATCAATGCGCGGTCATCGCAAAGAACTTGCAAGCGCCGGCGCGTGCGAACCTCTTTGCCAATTTCATCAACCATGGCCTTTTCGCTGTGATCGCATTTGCTATCAAACACCCCAAGCCACCATTGCGCACGACAGGCATTGATCTTCTGGTGTCTCTCCTCGACCACGATCAGATCATGATGCGCGGATATATGCTCAAGGCCGTCAGCGAGAAGAAAACGCCCCTTACAGATACTTTGATCGACCTGCTGCACACGGAAACCGACCTCGGAGTTAAGAATCAGCTTGCCGATGCGATCAAGGTCCTGCTAGATCCACAAATTCCAATGCCGGACGCCATGGCTCGGGCTGGACCCGAGCACTTCAACAAGCCACGTTCCAACATCTTTTCGGATACATTTGTCCAGAACCATTTCGATGAGTCTGCCAGGAGGCTGTTTTGGCCTCTGAAGCGACTCGAAAATAGCGATAATCGTGAGTTTTGCTATTCGATGCCATCGCCTGATGGTTGCTGACCGTGGCGCCACCACCATTCGCAGTGAATGACCTCACATTCCAAGATGTAACGCTGTATTCGCATCTTGTCGATATTCTTACATTTTTCGTGCGCCAGCATTTATACCGTTCTCGCAATGTTATCCATGACGAGTCGCTCGCCCCTCGGGTCGCTCAATTACTTACTGTGCCCCAGAAGCATCTCAAATTGAGTAGGTCGCCACGATAATTATGTTGGTCTGCTGGAAACTAAACTCTCATTCTCCTCAGCTGCCCTGAAGTTCTTTCGCACTTTAATTAGTCTCCAAGATACCTTCTACCAAGCTATGATGACCCGTAACAACACGTTCGGTCTGATCCTCGATATCGTCTACCAGTCCATGCCACGTGACAACCTTCTGAACTCGGCCTGCCTTGAACTCTTTGAGTACATCAAGCGCGAGAACATCAAACCCATCGTTCTTCATCTGGTGGAGAAATATGGCGAGCAGATCAAGAACATCACCTATGTGGACACGTTCCAAACTCTGTACTTACGCTACGAGCAATTACAGGGCTACGGCGCAGAGGAGGCGGATTCTACTCTATACTCCCAGGAAGAAGATTTGCCAGGTCAGCGGATGCAAGCCAATGGGTCGCGCTGGCAAGGGGTCAAGGAAATGGATGCTGCAGAGGAAGAATACTTCAACACTTCGGATGATGAAGAAGAGGTAAGTCGCATCAGCCAGGAATCAGACAGTCTGAAGTATTGACCATGTACTATAGTGGCAGCAGGATCCCCAACAGAACACAGCCATTTCTGCACACCCGCAGAATGGCGCAGCATCGCCCGTAGTGAAGCCCCTAGTTGATTATCCCGATGACGACGACGAAGACGACGCGATGAATACCAAGGTTGAAGACCAGACGCAACCAAAGCAAGAATCGTCATCACAGGAGGACCCCGGTCGAGACACTGCCATGGAGTCATCTGAGGAGGCACCGTCCACGCCCGTCTCGTTGACGATACAGACCCCACCGGAAAGACTGTCGGAGAAGCGCCGACGCGAAGAGGAAGATGATGACGAACTGATGAAGCTTACAGCCGGCCCCAAACGACGAAGCTCCGTCAATGCAGGATCTGGGAGTGCCGGGCTTCTGCGCCGGAAACGAAGCGTGTCTATTGGCTCTCTTTCATCCAACGAGAAAGGGTCGACTCTGGGCAATACGACTACCAGCGCAGCACCCAAGCGGATTGCGATCAATTTGAGCTCCGCAACCGTCAAGCCCACTGACACTGCGGTAGACAAAACGAGCAATGAAAAGGAGAACCGAGATGATAACCATGACAGTCAAGGTGGATGATTTCATGATTTCCAGAATCGTCTGATCTTTTTGTTGTGAATGCTCGAGTCTCCGTAGCCGAGCAAACTGCATTCATTGTTGTGTTGTCATTTGTCAGAGTTGCGGAACATTCCGTGTTTGTTTTACGACAGCCTTCTAGATACCAGATGAAGTGATGCGTTTTTTCTAGCATTTTTTACCGATGGACCGAACGCATTCTTTCTGTACGATTCCCTTTTTGTTCCTTGATGGCTTTCCTTTTAGAAGCAGGACTCGATTTGACCAGTCCGGTTCGAGATGATTGTACATTTATAGCACTTTTTCTCTTCTCTTCACTTATCATTCGGGATTTCGAGGGCTCTGGACCGGGGCGGAGTCAGGCTTGCTGGATGGACTGGACGGTATGGTATGGGCTGGGGTTGAAGAAGGGATAGCATTTGCGAAAAGACATCGATTGCACATATCCTTGCATGGGCAATGTCAAGTGAACATGAACCTGGCGTCGATAGGCGCGGCTGTAGATTATGGGAGATGTAACTTAGACTGTATATGAGCGCCGATCACATCCTCGGCTTGCGGGGAAAGAGTACATCCGCCGCTGTCTCCCGCGGCCGGCGAAGCAACGCCGAAGACAGGATGCATGATCCAGACTTGAAGTTTGAAGTGGACATGCATGAGCGTGTCTTCAGATCCTGACTCAGGCGCCATGTCTCCGGAAATCGACCCTCACATGACCCCGGATAGTTTCTTCCACACCTTGTGCGACAAGAAATCCTCCGGGGGTGTGTCTGGGAGCCCCGTGATTATCTACTTTATATCCGGCAATCCTGGCTTGATATCATACTACTACCCATTCTTCACGCATCTGATCGAGAAATTGAGGGTTTGGAGTTCCAAGGACGATGCGAGCCCCAGATTCCACCTCTACGGCCACAGCCTCGCCGGCTTTGAGGTCGCATCGTCACCGTCCGACAGCAATACAGAACACTACCACGACTTGGAAGACCAGATCCGCTTCGTGCAGCGCAAGCTGGACGATTGCGTGAGCCGTGTTGTCGCCTCGGAGACCCCAGCTTTTCGTCGTGTCGACGGTGATACAGTCAGACCCCGAGTCATATTGATCGGCCACTCCGTGGGAACCTACATCGCTATGGAGCTCATCCGGCGCCACCGCGAACGATCCTCAGCAGCAACCTCATCATCATCATCATCATCATCACCATCAGCCGACAACAAGCACTCCTCCTTCCCCATCATCAGCGCAATCCTCCTCTTCCCCACCGTCGTCGACATCGCCAAATCCCCCTCCGGGAGGAAACTGACCGTAAGTTCGCAGAGCCCTATCCCATACTCCATCCATTCTCTCCAACCCACCCCCCCCTTTCACACTGGAATAACGAACACTAACCACCCCACCCTCTCCCACACGGATAAGACCCTCCTCGCCATCCTCCCCCACCTAGCCCTGATCGCCAGCCTCGTCGCACGGGTCCTAACGACCCTCCTCCCGGCCCCCATGCTCCGCACCGTAGTGCGTCTGGTCATGGGATCCCCGCCGTCCGCCGCCGTGGACACGACCTGCCGGTTTCTGACGAGTAGGAGGGGCGTCAGACAGGCTTTGTACGTCGCCCTTCCCCCACATTCCCTCTCTCTTCTCCTGGGTTAGGTCCAGCGATCAAGATCCGATATCAGGATCACACCTAACCCAGCCCCGCCGGGCTATCTAGCGCCTCTCCAGGGTATGTACAGGGATACTGACGGTGATAGACACATGGCCGCGTCGGAGATGTACACCATCAGTTCGGATGAATGGGCCGACGAGGTGTGGGGGATTGCGTCGACGCCTGAAGCAGCGAAGAGCTTGACGAAGTTGTTCTTTTATTATGGACGCGGGGATCATTGGGTCCCTGAGGAGACGAGGGAGGAGATTATTGCTTTGCGGGGGAGGGGGAATGGGAATGGGATTACGGAGGGTGGCAGTGCGAAGGGTGGCGAAGGGGAAGGGGAAGGGGGCCGTGGCCCGACGATGGTGGTTTGTGAGGAGGGCTTGCCGCATGCTTTTTGTTTGAGTGAGTCTTGCCCCAATCTTGGTGTATTGGGTCTTGGGCCCGGGGGTGTGCTTGGGGATTGTGGGATTGTGGGCTTGTGGGTTGATCTGATGCGTGTGCTGACTGTATGCTGGGCAGGGCATAGCGAGGTTATGGCGGAGAAGGTTGCTGGGATGGTTAGGGAGGTTGTGGGGTGAGGATGGGTAATTCCCTAGGGAGTTGGGGTTGGGGTTGAACAGGGTAATGAGTATGTACGGGAGGCATTGACTGTATAGAGACATCGTAAAATAGAGGTAGGGCTACGACCGTTTCCCAAGAATGCACACCAAAACTTCTATATGCGCTAATCATACCACCATCATTCATGGGTATCCTCTCGCATCCCTCCGCACACAAAAGACACACCTCACTGACCCCCCTGATACGCCAGCCCGGCTCTCCGAAACAGATCGCCCAGAACATCCTGCTGCAGCGCCGGCACAGCTCCAGAACCCGACCCCGGTCCTGGACCCGGACCCGGCTGCGACGGAGGCGGAGGCGCATGCTGCCAATCGGCCGGCGCGATCTGATGCGCGCGCACACTCCACCCATCATCCTGGGCGCGCTGCTGCCCGAACAGATCCTTGAGCGAGACCTGCCTTCCCATCGCCACACTAGTGCTCACCTCCTCCAACGGCGCGCCCGTCGTAGCCGCCACCGCCGCCGTCGCCGCCGCAACATGCATCCCATTCTGCCGCGTCGCCTCGACCCGCTCCCTGGCCAGCTTCAAGCTCTCCCCAGCATGCACCGCACACTCCCGGATCATCTGCGCGTTGATGCTGCGCGTCTCGGCCGTGGAATTCGGCGGCGGTTCACTGTAGATCCACAACCCGTAGATCCGAATATCCCCACCATTACCGCCACTATTCCCCGAAGGCTTAGCAGCAGCAGCAGCAGCAGCGGTAGAATTGGCTGGCGGCACCATCCCCGGAATGGAAGCATTCTCCACCACCTCCGGCGCCAGATCGGACTTCAGGATGATATACTCCTCGGTGATCTCGACGTTGTCGCCGTCGGTGAGCGGGAGGTCGAAGTTGTTGAGCCCGCGACGGTTCAGCACAAAGACGCTGTAGCGCTCTTCGCCTAGCTCGCCCTGCGATCGCTGGCACACGAAGAGCGTCCCCTCCACGCCGCTCTTTTCCCATTGCCGCGTGCTGGGGCTGAAGATGTAGACCACGGCGTATTGCGCGAGGGAGAGAATCGAGGTGATGGTTGGGTTGTGGCGGCGGAGGACCGACAGGTTGAGGTCTTCGTTGGTGCGGAGGGGCGGCGGCGCGGGGGCTGTGGTGGTGGTGGTGGTCGTCGTGGTGGTTGCGGTGGCTGTCATTGGGGGGAGTTGTTGGTTTGTTTGTGGGGGGTGGTGACGGTGAATGGGGAGTTGTTGTTGGTGGTGTTGGTGGTGTTGAGTGTCTGAGAGATAGGCTTGGTAGTCGGAGTCGTAGTCGGAGGGTTGGGCGAAGCCGCTTTGGCTCAGGTGTTGTTGGTGGTGTCGCGGGTTGTTGATGTTGTTGGTGCCCTGGTTGGAGTGTGCCCGTCGGGGTTTGCGAGCGGACATTGTGTGGGATGACTGGTATAGAGACGGAATGTGAGGTAAGAGAGAGAGAGAGAGAGAGAAAGAGAGACGAAGAGGAAGTGCGATGAGTGAGGTGGAAGTGATGACGATTTGAGGAAGTTATGGCGGAGAGAGAAAGGGAAAGGGAAAGCGAAAGGGAAAGGAAGGGGAAGCTCAGGCCGAGAAGCGGTCGGAAAGCACCCCGCGGCCGAGTCTGGAATCCCATTCCATCATCATCATTGATTATTCAATCCGTCCTCTTCCTCTTCCTCTTCCCCTTCTTCCTCCTTCCACCTCAAAACCATCCTCCCACCACCACCCTTTCTCTCTTTCACTGGGTTCTGCGATCATTCTTCGTGGAAGTGATCGCAGACCTTGACTTAAATCCCCAAGACTGTTCTCTCTCTTGTGAGCGCTTCCCGTCCCAATCTATACCAATCCAGAGCCGCCGCTCCCGCGGGCTTGTACAGTACGTACTCCACGCAGCTCTCGCTCGCTACGACCTTCGCCACTAGCGCTCTGGTCCACACTCCAGTCTTGATTTGATTTAGAACGAACCCCTGACCTCTCGTTCGATGGTCGCATGATGTTCATGTCCTAATGTTCCAAACTGTCGCATCTAGCTTCTATTCGTTTAAACGTGCAACCTTTTGCGCCGCGTGTCAGTCCGCGGTGACCTCGTATTCGCCCGCATCGCTCGGAGGCCACCCTATATATAGATCTATATCCCTGGATCGGGAGGGCGCATACTATTCCCTCAATCATACACTATGGCTTCCGTCGCCCAGCAACAGCAACACATCTCCGGCGAATTCCCGGGCGATAACGAAACGTCTCCGGAGACCGACCCCTCGTCGCTCCCGCAGGCTGTCAAAGCGCGAAAGGCCGAATACACCCACCAGCAGTCGATCCGAATCAAGGTCGGCACATGGAATGTGGCTGCCATTCCAGGCACCGAGAACGACATCGGGAACTGGTTCGTGCAACAGAAAGGGGTATGCGAACAACTGTCTGGGTTGCGGGTGAAGGACTCGCAGGGAGGAAACAAGACGGACGACTCTTCGGCTGGACAGACAGAGTCACTGTCCGAGACTGCGCCGGACCAGATTGACCTCTACGTCCTGGGCTTGCAGGAGATTGTGGATGTCTCGTCGCCCGCGGAGGCGCTGAGACCGTATGTCGATCCAGCGCCGGCGAATAGATGGAAGGCGGCGCTTGAGAAGGCCTTGCCACCGGGATATAAGCTTATTGCCGAGACACAGCTGGTGGGATTGCTGCAGCTGGTCTATGCTTCCCCCTCCCTGGCCAACCAGGTATCGTCCGTGAGCTGCACTAGTGTGGGTACGGGGCTTCTAGGATACATGGGTAACAAAGGCGCCGTCGCGACTCGCTTGGTCCTCGGCGAAACCACATGCGTTGTCTTTGTGGACTGCCACCTGGCTGCCGGGTCCGATAAGAACAGTCTAGAGCGGCGCAATTGGGACGCTTCCCAGATCGTTACACGGACTCGCTTTGAACCCATTGATCCGATCGCTACCCTTCGTGAAGACCCTGCCGAGAGTATCGGGCAAGAGGACTTTGCTTTCTGGTTCGGAGATCTTAATTACCGACTGGAAGACATTCCCGGGGATGATGTGCGTCGAGTGCTGGCTCGACATACGGAGAACGACTACGATAACCGGCACAAGACACGAGTGAATGCTGATGGGCGTACTGAATCACCGCTCGTAATAGACAAAGAAGGAGGAGATCAACAGCGATCATCTAGGCGAGGCAGCTCTAGTCCCCCTGTTTCGGACGACGACATCGATCCCCATACAGACCCCGCCTCCTTACAGACCACGATATCGTCTCTATTGCCTCATGACCAGCTCACGACGCAGCAGAGCAAGCGTAAGGCGTTCCATGACGGCTGGCGAGAGGGTCCTATCACCTTCCTGCCTACTTACAAGTATGATGTAGGCAGCGTGGGTAGGTTCGATTCGAGTGAGAAAAATCGCGGTCCCAGCTGGTGCGATCGGATTTTGTTCCGATCACACAAAGACAAACTGAGGTCTGAGCGACTGGCGAAAGAAGCTGAGGAGGCTAGGAAGCGCGATGAGGAGATGAAGGCCAGGGGCCTGGATAAGGCGGCTGCTGATGACAACGTCTTGTTCGATTATGACCCAGATGTTGACGGAGCCGACAGTGGGGATGAATATGATCCCGACAAGGATTCCAATGAAGACGACTCTTTCATTTCTACCGCCGAAGCTGATGAGTCTCTTCAGTTAGACTACTACTTGTCTCATCAAGGGATACTCTCCTCGGACCATAAGCCTCTCGCGGCTGGATTTACCTTGACATTCGAGTCCGTGGACCCGCAAAAAAAGGCCAAGATCCATCAGGAAGTGGTTCGAGAACTGGACAAGGTGGAAAACGAGTCTCGACCTGGACTTACTGTGGTGGTCGATCATCATGGTAATCAGCCCACCAGCGAAGATCCCAACGCCGTGAATTTTGGAGACGTGCCTTTCGATGTTCCCGTCACTCGGTCCTTGACCGTCGCCAATACCAGCGGTGTATCCGCCACCTTTTCTCTGGAGAAGCCGGAGCAGAATGAAACCCACAAGTCGGCTCCTTGGTTGGAGTACCGGGTGCACCATCCTGAACAAGAAGACTCGAAAAAGAAGCTACCGTCGAACGAATGCACCCTCCTCCCCGGTGAGATTGCCAGCATTGAGGTTACGGCGTTTGTTAGAGACGTAGAGCTAGCCCGATTATTGAATCAGGACCAATTTAGCCTGGAAGAAGTCCTCGTCCTCCGAGTGACGAACGGGCGGGACCATTTCATTTCTGCGTACGGCAAATGGCTGCCTACCTGCTTTGGCCGCTCGCTCGAAGAGCTCACAATGATGCCCGAGGCGGGAGCGCGGAGTCTCAACAACTCCGAACGACGACGGAGTTCGGCCGTGCCTCTATCGGCACCTCGCGAGCTATTCAGACTGACTGAGGCTATTTCGGAAATGACTGAACGGGCCGTTGCTGAATGGAGTATGACAAGAGGCCACTCAGAGGATGACATGCCTCCGTGGACCAAGGAGCCGTATGGCTATGGCTGGCCTTTTGAGCCTGAGACATGGACCTTACGTGACAAGGACGAGCGTCTTTCACTTCTGGCCGCCGCTCGCGAGGCTTTGGACATCAATAAAGATTTCAGCATCGTCTTCGCGCCCGAAGTATCTTGTCTCCACCGGCTCGAGATTCTCAGCGAAACGCTACTTGTCTTCCTTCGGTCATTGAAAGACGGCGTCGTCACCAGCACTGTGTGGCAAAATCTAGACCAACAGATCCTCGCTCGCGAGAAAACCCGCGCACCACCTTTATCGTGGGAAGAAACCCAAGCGTGGGTGCTGGAAAGCCTCGCCTATTCCCCCGCCCACAGCGTCTCTTTCACTTTCGTAACTTTCATGCTAGCCCGTATCGCCAACGAAGTTGCCCCGGCATCATCCATTCCCACCCACGGCCCTCTGAAGATCTTAACCCCTCCGCTTGAGAACCGGAGTCCAATAAAACAAGAGAATTCGCCAAAAGACTTAGCAAACCCTCAAGAGCAGCAACAACAAGAGCAAGAGCAACCACCACCCCCATCATCCTTTATATCCGCCAACGCCTTCCGGCGCCGAACCCGCACATTCAACTCTTCCGTCTCCGAGCCTCCTTCTGTCATCTCCCAGATGGCCATGCGCCGCCAAGCGGTTGAAAC